ATCTAGATGACTCCCTCCCCCCAAAGCCTCATGTCCTTGTAGGAGGGGCCTTTGGGGGGGGGACTGGATCAGGGCTGTGTGATGCTGGATTAGTACACTGATGGGTTTACAGTTGGGTGTGATGCTGGGAGGTGAACCTCGGTGGGGGGATAGTTATCTATTCCCCCTCCTTCCTTTATCCCTCAGGCTTCCTGTCTGGCACGCCATGACTCTTTCCCCTCTGCCGTGCCACCCTGCCTTGGAGCCAGCTGACTATGGACTGGACACTACAAACTGAGAGCCAAAATAAACCTTTCTTCCTCTAACTTGTGGCTGTGAGGTTCATATCTCCGCAAGGAGAAAGCCACTAGGACAGCACCTACCTTCAGCTGCTGAGGCTTCCAGGTCTTGCTCTTTGCCGACCGTGCCCCGTGCACAAGCTGCTCTCCTCTGGGCCCCCGGTCCTCATCTGTCCTCGCCTGTAGGGAACAGGGGAAGGGGATGTTATCAGAACCTCTGTAGTAAGTCTTAGTCTCTTGTGAGACACGGCAGCACACGGTGAATTACAGGAAAGGTAGACAAATGAGACTGAGAAGAAGCTGAGCTTTGGGTCTGATCAGTGCTGCTCTGGGCAGCAAAGACAAAAACCATCTAGCTTGTAGCACCTTTTATTTAGTACCTGGGGAAACAGATGTAACAAGTGAAATGCAGAGTTCAGTACCTCACATTGGGATAAACAAGGTGTAACAAAAGGCTGGGGGCAGTGGAAATCTAAGAACAATGAGGAACTATGTAGATGAAGGTTTGGTTCCTCCTTGGCGTCTTCCACAGGTGTGGTCTTGTCCTGGAGATTGTAGCATGGGGTGCGGTGGGGGGGGGGGATCACTGAGGTCTCAGTTGTGACCAGAGGCCAAAATGTAATTATGTCTGGAATGTCCTAGCTGGGCTGTAGGGAGGAGAACTAGGCCTATTTAAATGATTTAAAAAAAATTATATAAGATTGTTCTCAACACTCGCCAGCCAGCTCGTGGCTCACAAAGCCCTTGAAAGCCTCTGGAGAGTATTCTGCCCCCTTGGCACCGTAGAAGGTCAACGTCTACAGTGTTTGCACTGCGCTGTCAACGTGGATGTTTTAAAAATAAAAGTGCTCCTCTGCAAACGCAAAACCTGCACTCTGTCCTGCTTCCAGTGTCACCAGGCAGGTCGGGCTCCTCACTAACAAACAAACCACACCAGCAACCCAGTACCCTGAGGTGAACCCAGAATCAAACCGACAACGAGGAGGAGTTGGTGCGCTTGTGCGGCCTGGACTCGGCGGGTGAGAGTTCTGGCTCCTCCCGGCACACGGCCCGAGTTTAGGGCCTGGCAGGGTCAGGACAGCCGAACAAACGGGACTTAGGTTCCCTGCCTTCGCTGGTGACCTTTTCCTTTTGAATACTCGTCAACATTTGTGTCTGGTGGTGACCACGTCTTCCTGAAGTCTGAATCCTTTACCCTCTTTCCAAGAAAATTCTCTTTTCCTAAATGTGCTTTTCTCCAGTTTGTCTAATTTTTAAACTTTCTGTAATTATTCATATGTATCAAATGAGAGGCAGATAATGCTGCAGTGTAAGCCCAGAACACCCAGTTGAAGGACAAGTTCTTAGTTCTTTCCTCCTCCACCTCTGGTTTGTGTCTCACTTCTTCCGCAAGCTTTTTTAACAAAACCATGTGCGTGCTTGGAAGAATTCCTGATCACCCTGGCATACACTGCGACACAAACACGCATGTCACTTAAATTTAGCCTTAGTTCCTGTGACCCTAAGGCTCTCAGTGTTTTTTTGAAAAAACCTTTTAATTACAACTAATCAACAGTTTGAAGCAGCAGAAATACATTAAAACCGAGGCATTTATTTATCGTTTTGCAAAGTTAAATTTTTGTCAGACTCCACCTCTTAGGGAGAAGGACCAGACTGTGTGATTTTCAAATGGTTTGTTTCACTGGATGGAAATTAATTGAGATGAGCTCCAAATTTCATCCCGTTTTTTGTTTTTGTTTGTGTATTGAGGCCAGGGCTTCAGCATTGAGCTGCACCCCCAGCTTGCTCGTGTATGTACACATGCACGTCTGTATGTAATTTCGTGTGTATGTATTTATTCAGGGTCTCAGTAAGTCTGGACTCAAACTTGCCGTGGTCTTGCCTCAGCCTCTCAGAGCGCTAGGATTACAGGCCTGCCAGACGACGCTGTTTGTTTTTCCGTTTTATTGGTGTAGATTATAAGAAAACTTGTTTATATGAAATTCATTCATGGCAGGGGGATAGTTTTGTTACAGCTCTGCCTCTGCTTTCTGAACTCCAGAGACTGAAGCCAAAAGCCACACCGCGATCACCGCAAATGTCAGCAGACCTTTGGCCGAGTGGGTTTTCCTTCGGGGCCGTTGTCGGGGACCGGCGGCTCCGGACTAGACCCAGTGTAGGGCACCTCGCCCTCTTCCTCCCCCTTCCCCTCCTCAGCCAAGTGAGATGAGGGGGCAGAGGCGTCCCCAAGGTCAGCGGGTCCCAAGGCCCTGCCTCTCACTGGCCTTGCGGTCAACGCGCCCTGCTGGCAGGACAGGGACACCGCGGGCCCCTGCAGACGCTCAGCTCCAGCCCCCGGGTATGAGGGTGCCGGGGCACTTCGGGCAGGAGTGGGGTGCTCAGGGCTGGGGCGGCGGGGGCCTAGGACGGCTGCGCTAACCGACAAGGTCCCGTCGAAGGGTGCACGGTCCACCGCTGCGTCCCTGGAGGCCCCGGCCAGCGAGGGGACCGAGCTTTCGGCGAGGGTGGTGAGCTGCCTGCTGAGCGTGCGCGTCCGGTGCGGGACTCCCCCGGGGCTCTGCCTGCGCCCAGACCTGTGCCGGGTGCGCCTTCTCGGGCGTGGGGCCCCTGGCGGGGGTGTGTGCGTGTGCCCGCGGTGTGCGTGGGCGAAAGGCTGTGGTGTGCAGCATAAGTGTGAGGCGAGACGAGTGTGCAGCGTGTGCCGGGTCCCACCCGTGTCCAGACTTCGGCTGTTGGAGCCTGAGACTGGGAACCAGCGCGGCGAGCTGATCTGCAGCGGTAACCATGGCAACAGATGCTCGGCGGCGCCGCGCGGCCCGTGGGGGCGGGGAGGAGCCCGCGCTCTGTGCATCCGGATGCGCCCCCTCCTCGGTCCCCTCTCCTGCCCCTGGCGCCCGGTCTCCCCTCTCGTCCTCTGGGGCCTGGGGCGGGTAGAGTCGCTCCCGCTGTCCGCCTCCCAGGAGTTTCCTGCACAAAGCGCTTCTCGCCCTCGTGCGGGCGCTGGGGCGCGGTGGTCCTCTCTCGGGAGCAGGGGGACCCTGGACGCACCTGCTCACACTGAAGAGGGGGAGCCGCGGCCATAAGCACCCCAGGCAGGGCACCCCCGCGCCGTCCACGCAGGCTCTTCAGGGTCCTGGGAAGGACTCAAACTCGCTCAGCAGGCAGCACCGCCCGGACTCTGGTCAGCGCCTCCGGACCCAGCCTGCCAGTACCGCGCCTGCCCGCGGCCACTCCGAGCCAGGCCGAGCGATCCTCCTTCCTGTCCCGGCGGCCTTGCGACCCTGGCTTCCAATCATTCAGTCATTCAAAACCTTCGCCAAGTGCAAGACTCCCGAGCGCTGGCCCAGGCCGCCAGACTAGCCAGATCCCCAGATCCAGAGGGGCGTGCGCCTGCCCAGCGTCTGGCCCACCGTCCAGATCAGCCTTGCTGCTAAGCGCAGGGCCACAGGGGCCTTCCCCCGAGGCACCCCAAAACGACCTGGTCCCGAAAGTCCTAGACTCTAAAGTACAGGTGTTCATTCGCGTTCCATCGGAGACCTCGAGCAAAGTCTTAAGTAGTCCTCCATCTCTCCCCAGGGCCGGTGCAGTGCTGGTGCTGTTGTAAAGGAAGAAGGAGGGGCAGCAGGGAGGGACAGGAGGTTCAGAATTCCTCGCACTGGACGCTTTATTTACGTATTAATTTTTTTGAGACAGGATCTCCCTATGTAGCCCAGGCTGGCCTCGAACTCGCGGTGATCCTACCTCAGCTTCCCAAGTACTACAATTACAGGCATTCGCCACCACGCAGGGGTTTTCACTGTGCACTTTAGAAGCTGCTTCAAAAAGGCTTTAAAGGGGGCCAGGGATTCAGCTCAGTGGTTCCGCTGCCTGCCTCTCAAGCGCAAGGACCCAGTTCGATCCCTGGTAACCACCACCACCACCACCACCACCACCACCACCAAAAAAGGCTTCAAACGGTGTTGCGGAGCCCAGGAGCGCCCCCTCCTGGTGACAGCGTGTAGTGCCGGCTCTAAAGGGGCAGGCCAGCCTGACAAAGGGGGCTTTCCGCCCCGCCCCCTGTACACCCTGCTGCGGAGCAACACTTGCGTCTGTCAGTGTCAGTGCCGAGGAGTCTGGATGATTCCTAAGCGTCCGGTCAGCTCCCTAGGGCTGCAGAGAGCGCCAGGGTTGGCTGTTTCAGCCCTGCTTTCCCCGGGAGCTGTTTCAGGTGGGCTGGTGGCAACGTGCGCTTTGTACAGCAAGGCCGGGGTAGGGCACTCGGCCCGCCGGCAGCAGGAGGGCGCAGGGCGCCCAGGACACACGGTGCATCTCTGCCGAGGCCTGGGGAAGTCTTGGGGAGTGGCCGGGGGCGGGCACGGAGCGAAGGTGTTCCCGAAGCTTAAAAAAACCCCCCAAAAGTCGTGTGTGTGTGTGTGTGTGTGTGTGTGTGTGTGTGTGTGTGTGTGTTAGGGACTGGGGATGTAGCTCAATGCTCTGGGTTCGATTCCCAGTACTGAAAAATAAAAAGTACCCCAGTCCACCCCCTAGAGAGCAGACTGATGAGTCTGAGCACACAGGCAAGGGCTCTGAATTAGGTCTTGTGCGGACCTCGGGTGCTGCCGGCCCCCATGGTGACAGGGACTCTGCTCCTCCGGCCAGGAGGGCAGCTCGGGAGGCCCCCAGGCAGGACCTCCAGCCAGTGGGGTCGGCAGGAGTCCCGTCCTTCCTGGTAACCTACTGTGTCAGTGGGGCCCGGGCCAAGCACAGGTCTACCGCCAGCCGGAAAGAACCTGTTCTGCTGTGTTTGTCAAGGGATTAATTAGCAGTTTCTTCCATGTTGGGGGAGTGGCGGGCGGTCAGGACAGCGGCAGCCTTTGGAGACCCCCCATGTTGGCTACTGCAGCTTCTCAGCATCTGTGGGTGGTGACACAACTGGGCCTTTATTCCGTGGGTGCTGTGTGCTGTGCAGCACCCCTTTGGGTGACTGTGGCTGAGGTCCGGAGCTTGAGGCAGAAGCTGGTGGCTGGGATCCTTGTGTGGGGACCCCAGTGCTGATTTCCAGGGTGGACCTTGCAGGAGGGGCCGGAGGACGTGTGAGCTGCCGCTGTGGAGTGTGAATCTGGGCAGGTCCTGGGGTGGCCAGGCCTGGGCTGATGCATCAGGGGACAGAGGCACATGGGTGAGGTCTCTGATGAGGTCTCTTGGAGTCCAGGAGACCATGTCAGCAGGAGGGCTGGCTCTGGCTTCCTGCAAGACAGGAGTCAGCTTCCGGGGAAGGACAGGCAGGGTGTGTGGTGGGAAATGGGCAGACAGGATGTGGTGCACCTGTGGGAGCTCCCAAGGCCTCCTGGATGGGACAGCGCAGGGGGCCTCAGCTGGTGAGGCGGGGGTGGGGTGGAGCTCAGGACCTTCTCAGGGGCTGGGGGAGGGACCCCAGAGGGAGGAGGACCCCACACTCCCCTGCCAAGTCCTCTGGATGAGTCAGGACTCTGTCAGTGACAGCCAAGGGCTGCCTTATAACGCCACCTTCCTTTCAGTGGTGCTTCTGGCGCTGCCTTTGGGGAAGAAGCTGGCCACAGACAGCAGCCCTGGCCTTGTCTGAATTGCCAGCTGGGCCGGGGACTGTCATGGGGATACTATGATCACAGTTCTTAGCAGGGCCGCTTCTGTGTGTCACTTCCCTCAGGGCTGTTTGGAGGCCCCATGTTGGCAGCTTCACATTGGCCACCGTGGGAGAATTCACACCCCAGGAATGGGTGAGTGCCGCCAATCCGGGCTTTTTGTTTTGGAGAGTGGGTTTGCTAGCGCACCGTGTCCGTCCCCAAGCCCCCTGGGAATGTGCAGGGGTCCTGTGCCTGCCACTCTCTGGCCCCGTCCCCTTCCTGTGAATCCTGTGCTCCCCCTGCTGAGCCCACCTTCTGGTGTTCGGGAGGTCAAAGCCAGGTGGCAGGCTGTGCAAACTCCAGTGCTGTGGAATTGCACTGAATCCGGGCCCTGTGCCGAAAGACTCGGTGCATACCACGTACTCCAGCCGAGGAGCTGGTTTTGTAGCCAGAAGTGCTCAGGAGCAGACTGAAAACCTAGCCTTTTGATGCAGCTTGGTCCCCCCTTTTGGTGCACAATGAACGGCTCTGGGCTCCAGCATCCCCACTGGTGTGATAGGTTTAGGGCAAAAGGGTCTTTGGGGTCCCTTCCAGCTCTGACCTTGGGCCCTGCAGGCCTGCCCCCCACTGCACACGTCCTCGAGTTCCTCTTCCCCTCCGCCTCACCACCACCCCATCAGCCTTCCCAGTTGGGACAAGGCCACCCTCTTTCCTGTCCTCCGCCCTCTAGACGAGGGCTCTCTCCCGGTCCCTTGATCTGGAGTGCTATGGTTTGGTGCCCTGTGCATGTCACGCACATCATTGAAGGCCTCGAATGTGAGCTGCCCGCCCAGCCACATGCTGGGGGCCAGGCCCTGGACTCCAGGTGCTGCCGGGCCATGGCGCTCCATGGTTGCGTCAAGGGTGAGGAGCACATGTCAAGGCCGAAGTAGAACCCGGGTTCTAGCCCTGCCCCTGTCCAGCATCTTCAGGTCTTGGGAGTGGCTCTGCCTGCCCTGGGACTCAGCCTCAGACCACCCTGCATTTGTGCTTTCTCCTCACCCCCACACACGGTCTCTCCACAAGCCGAGAGCTTAGGGCCTCCTGAAGGTGTCCTCAGTCTGTCCTCGGTGTTACCTCCACCCCTGCTACCAGAATGCCCTGCTTGGACCACTGCAGTGACCTCCTAACTGGCCACCACCTGCTCCGATTTCTGTGCTCCTGCCTAGCACCAGGGCATTCAGGTGACCAGCTACCCCGGGCCAGGCTGTGCCCCAAGGAATGTCCTCTGGGGTTCCTGCTGCACATGGAGGGACCTTGATGGGGCCATGCATGTCAGTGGGCATCCTTCTCACCTGCCAACACCTGCCTCTGCCGCCTCCAGAAGCAGGCTGACCCTCTGGGCTGGCACCCCTGGCCTCTTGCCTGGAGTCTGCCCCCACCCTTGTGCTGGGTGTGACTCCCCTCCCTGTCACTCAGCGCCCACCCCAAGCCCACTGTCCGTGCTGTCTCGTGTGTGCTCACTTCCTGTCCATGCTGCCCCTGCCCCTAGGTTGCATACTCTCCAAGGCGGGGCCTGGCCCCTCCTGTTCACTGTGTCCTCAAGCCCAGACCAGAGCCTGGCTCCAAGCAGGTTCCTCTCTGTACTTCTCGAGGGTTGGCTGACTTTCCTCTGCTTTGGTCCAGACCTGTGACGGCAGGGGACAGAGAAGTGAGGTGGCCCACCAGCTCCGGCAGCTCTCCCCCAAACATAACTCGCTCCCTGCTGAGGGAGCACAGGGTGCCCTGGAGGAAGGAGGGGCAGCAGCTCTGTCCCAATGCCCAGGGGTGTGGCGGGATGTCAGGCTGGGGAGCACGGCCATGCCCTTCCTCCTTCCAGCCTCTGACCTCGACTGGGGGACTTTAGGCCACCTTGACCAGAAGAATCAGGGCTCCCAGCAGTGCCGTCACCGAGTGGAGCTGTTTGCGTGGCAGGAGAGCAGACCCTGTGGGAAGCCAGGGGTCTGGTGAGGGCGGCAGGATGGACCACACCCATCTCCACTGGCCCCTGGGGCACAGCCCACCCTGTGCACACACTGGCCAGGCCCCCCCACCTGATTGGAGCATGGGCCGCAGGGTGTTGGGGTGCCCGTCATTGGCCTCAGGCACAATGCCCAGCAGCTGGCACAGGAGCTCGTACACGTGGATGCTCTCAAGGGGCTCTACCTCCAGGCCTGCCTTGAAGCTGGGGCCCACGGCCCGGAAGATGGTCTTCATGTCCATGTCTCTGTGGTCAAAGCCATGCTCGCCTTGGTTGAACTGGACACTAAATTTCTAGGGGGAGTGCCAGGAGTGCAAGGGTCAGGGCCCCTGGAAGCCCCTTCTGCTTCCCCACCAGTGTTGCCTGTGGATTGGTACCCGTGTGGGTCGAGGCACTCTGGGCCTCAGTTTCTCTGAGTTTCGGGACCCCAAAGACAGCGCCTCGGTGAAAGCTGCTGAAGCAAATGGTCAGTAAGAGGCAGGGTTGCCCCAGGCGAGGCCGGGCCCCGTGGCTGCAGCTGAGGCCGTGACTTCCTTCCTCCCTCATGTCTGCGCCCCCATCTGGCCTCTGCTTCCTGTTCAGCACCCCTTGTCCCTGTGGTTGGTCTCGCCTCTGCAGCTGGAGTCCCCACACTTCACCCTCAGCACACGCACGCATGTGTACACTCCCACACACTCCGATCGCACAGAGATCGGCCTTTGGCAGCCGACACTCCTCAAACTGGGGACTAGCGAGAAGCAGGGGTGCCTTTTGTAGGAGTGGGAGGAGCCTCGGGGGTCCCTTGAGCCAGCCCAGCCCCGTGGGTCCAGCAGACTTACCCCATGGATGACATAGCCCAGGTCGCTGTACATGAGCAGGGGCGTGATCCTGGGGTTGCCGGCGTAGTGGAAGGCCTCGGGGAACCCCTCCTTCCTGTAGACGTGCAGCCTGGGGTGGGCATCCTTGAGCACCCTGTACACCTTCTCCAGCAGCCCCTCCTTGGGAATCAGCATCCCATTCGGCCCGTAGTCCAGGAGCTCGAACTCGATGTTCCCGAAGGAGGAGTTGGGGAACTTGTGGAACTCCACCAAGTCGCTGGCTGTCTTGTGGACGGTCGTCATGCCGTGGTCAGACGTGACGATCAGGTTGAGGCAGCCCGTGAGGTTGTGGTGTTCGATGCTGTCTCGAAGGTAGCCCACAATCCGGTCCACCTGCTTCACCATCTCCCTCCTCTCCGGGGACTCAGGGCCATACCTGTGGCCAGTGGAGTCTGGCTCCCCAAAGTAGAGAGTGACCAGAGCTAGGTCATCCTCGGTCAACCACTTCATCACGGTGTCCACATTCGCCCTCCACTCCTGCTCGTCTTTGTAGTTGTGTGCAATGCCTTCCTTCTGGCTCAGCGTCATGGCCTCTCCTTGGTAGGTGACATTGCCGCCAGGGTAGAAGAAGGAGCCAGTCTTTAAGCCCTGCAGGGGCAAGCTGGCATTAGAGCCACAGGGCTCCCTGCATGTTCTGCAACCACTCACATACCCCACCTGCCGCCTCTGTGTCCCCACTCAGCTCTGCTCCTGCCTGTGGCCATGACACTTTTTATTTTCTAAAGTAGCCCTTGTTTCCCATTATCTGGGCCAGAACCAATTTATGAAGTAGATAAAAATGCCCGGAGCACTCAAGTGCTAAATGACATGATTGATGCAACGTGTCCCCCGACATGCCACGTCTGCATCATCCTTGTGGCTCTGGGTCCCTGTCTTTAGGACAAGCTGCCTAGAGAACCTTCCCTGGTGACCACTGCTGGCCTCCCCTCCTGGACCCTCACCTCGGCGTGCATCTGTCCAGCCCTCACCCTGGCCTCCATCTTCCCATAAATCCACTGCTGCTTCCTTTGTGGCTCCGTCTGTCATAAGGGGCCCTCTGTTCACACAAGCCTGTCTGCAGGCCTGTGCCCTGCCCTTGTTTCCTGTGGATGGAGCACCATGCAGCGCCAGTTCCTTGCTTCGGCTCTCTGTCCTTGGCTGGGGGAGGAGCCCGAGCCTCGGTGCAGGCAGGAGCTTGGGAGCCCAGCGCGGGCTGCGTGGGGTTGGCCTGAGATCTCCCATTTGACTCTGTCGACTGGAAGGCTCTGGAGCATTGCCGATCAGGGGCTCTGGCTCAACACTACCACCCGGCTCCTAGTTGGCCCAGCCCTTGGGAATTCAGCTGTCCATCCTGAGAAGGCCGTGGGCGGGAGGGATTCGTGGCTTCAGTGCTGACTGTATCTCGTTAGCCGCCATGGTCGTCCCCAGCGACTCTTTGCCCCAGGGCTGAGGGCCCAGGGGCATGGCCTGCCCCTGACAGCAGAGGGACGCCCTGCAATCTTAGGGCTCCGGAGAGGACCAGGCAGGGCTAAGGCCATGGCCTGAGCCGGTCCTCGGCCCCAGCCACTCCCTCCAGCCTGTCTACTCCTTCTCTTCCGGGACACCAGGAGCCTGGGGCTCCAGGCTCTTACTAGGTCACGGCCTCAGGATCTCCTCTTGCTTGGTAACCCTCTGGCCAGGGCCGCCTTACCTGCCTCTGGGCGGTCATCCAGATGGGCACACTGCCATTGTCCCACCAGCTCTGGATGCCAGGCGTGGTGTAATAGGGCAGCTTCACCTTGGTGGAGACATTGTAGAACATGTTGTGGACGACCCCGTGGTTCTCCACGTATTTGCCTGAGGGAGGAGGCGGCAGGGTGGGAGAAGTGAGCTGCGGCCCCATACTGGCCATCCCAGAGGCCCTGTGGCTTGTCACCCCGCTCCAGGGCCCCTGTTTAATGAGGCCCCCGGGTGTTTTCATTTGCCCTCCATTGGGTGCCACTGACAGAGAGGATTTCTTCGGTGCCCTTATCTCGCTCCTACCACTGTGGGGCCCTTCTTGGAGCAAGGCCTTGTCACCTTTGTCCCCAGGGCCCCTGGGCAGGGCTCCAGGTCCTCACTGCGGCCCCTGCTGGCCCTCCCCCACCCCAAGGCCGACACTCACCAGTGACCAGGGTGAAGTGGCAGGGGCTGGTCAGGGTGACAAAGGCCGGGGTCATGTAGCGAGCTTTCACCCCATCTTGAACCGTGGCGTCCAGGTTGGGGGTGTCCACATCCTGGTCATAGTCCCAGTGGAAGCCATCAAATGACACAAGGAGCAGCTTACTGGGGGCCTTCATGTGGACAGGCGCCCCAGCCCCTGCAGTCAGAGGGGCTGCTAGAGTCACAGCGAGGAGGGTGTCCGAGCATGCCCTGACAGACTCTCCGAATAAGCTGGTGCACAGGGCAGCCTGTGCCAGGAGGAGGGCAAAGTCCCAGGGTCAGGTGGGTGCCTTGTCCTGCGCACCCTCAGGGCGGGGTGGTGCCCAGAAGGACGGTCCTGGCCGAAGGGTGCACTGCGCCCTTGTGGGTGGGTCGGTGTGAACACATCTGTCTCCTTCCCTCCATCAGAGTCCGCTGGGCTCCTCCCCTCCGTCCATTCTCACCTGTCCCCCAGGGAGGATGGGGACCCAGAGCCCAGGGCACAGTAGGGTGTGCATCCACTCGGAAGCAGTGGCTTCCCCAGCCTGGGCAGAAGTTCTGGTTGTTGTGCCCCAGCTCTCACTGAGCCCGGGGACCAGGGTGGGTAGGGTGGACCTTCTCTGCCAGGAGGCCTTTGGGGCTTCCGGCCTCCCTGGGTGGGGCCTGAGAGGTAGGCTACCCCTGTCCACATGGAACCCAGCCTAGAACCCTCTTCCTCCCCTGCTCTGAGGGGGTGAGCCAGACATGACAGTGGCCTGGACCAGGGTGGTGGCTGTAGGATGATGGATGGGGATGGATTTGAGGTGGATTCTGTAGGTTTTGATAAAAGGACTGGTTGCTGGATTGCATGGCGGGGGGGATAAGTCACAATTAAAAAATTTTGTTTTGGAAACAAGTTCTTGATATGTAGTTCAGACTGGCCTGGAACTCAAACTCATAGCAGTCCTCCTGCCTCAGCCTCCCAAGTTCTGGGAGTACAGGCCTGTGCCACCATACCCAGCTCAAAAATTTAAATCTTGAACTGCAAACATGGCAACAGCCGCCCACCTTCCTTTTGCCTTCTGCGGCAGCAGACACAATCACTGAGTGATCACCACTGTACTTGTGTGACATCACAGACCCCATCAGCAGCCTCTGCTGAGGTACAGCCAAGGTTGTGTGGCCCAGGGACCATAGGGTGCAGATTCTGGGCCCCCCTTCCAGATCCATGGAAACACGTTCTCTGGGAAAAAAAATCTGTGTTTGGCGCCCAGCTTGGTGATGGTGTGTGCACTGAAGGTTGAGAGCCACATGATGGGCTGACCACCATCACTGAGCGGGTGTTGAAGGCTGGGGTGCAGGACCCCAACCCTGATGCAGAGGTTACCTGTGTGGGGTGAGCACACATGGACGCATGTGCAGGAAAATTGCAGGCTGCTTGGGACAGCGCATGGGGCCTCCATGGTCACCGGCTTTGGAGAACCCATACAGCTCTCGTGAGCATCTAACATTCATGCAAGACCTACAGGATGAGCTGATCCTGGGAAGCCAGGGACAGACAGGAAATGAAGGAGTACTCAGGGCTGGGAGGGGGCGAGGTCACCCAGGAACCTGTGGATTGTCAATGGGTCTGGGTTTTAGGCTGGGCAGAGATGGCAAGTTGTCTATGATGGCTGCTCTTCACGGCAAGATGGTTGCCAGAAGGAAGACTCCATTTTCCAGCATCCTGTGCAGCAAGGATTGGCCATGTGACCATGTCCTGGCCTATGAGACGTAAGCAGCAGAAATGTGATAACACCCAGGCTTTTGCCACAGAGCGCAGACTCACTCTTCTTTTCTGATTCTTTCTCCCTCTGGTGCCTCCAGTGCTGAGGGTGCCTGGAGCTCCCTGGCACAGTGGGAGTGGCCGAAAGGACCCCTAGGGTGTCCTGAACAGCATGGCCCCCAGCCAGCACTGGGCAGCTTGGCCCCAGGCTCATCTTCTTGGAGAATTCAGCAACCCCTGCTGTAGTTTACTTCCCATGCAGTGGGCTTGCTGTCCCTCTCAGTGGGGCCGTATCCTAGCTGATAACAGAATCCCAGGGCTGGAGTGTAAGAAGGCGCCAGATAGGCTGTGCCAGGTGCCAGGTTGGGACAGGTGAGCTGGGAGCTGATGGCCTGGTGCACGTCTGGCCAGGTAGGGCAGATTTGTGTATCTGGGGCCAGCACTGGGCTTGGTGGAGGGTACAGGGGCAGGTGCGAGTTGTCACTCTGCAGTTTCTCATGCTGCCCCCTCCAGGCTGTGATAGTTTCACATCCCGCTCATCCTCTCCTGCCTACCTGGACGTAGCCTGAGAGTCTGCTCCTGCTGTCCTCGGGACCTTTCTGCCAGGCTTGGCCAACTTGTCCCTTGTTCTGGCTTTGCACCTCGTTCACGTCTGTGTGGAGTCCCTTGGTCCACTGTACGGGTTTCTGCTTCCTTCCTGGCCTCAGAGTGCGTCATGGTGTAGCTGCTGGTTCCAGGCTTTTCCTGTAGACCAGGCAGCAGGCTGGACCCAGGACCTCACTGATGCTTTGAGCTTGCCTGTGGGACTTAGGAATAACCCTGACTTTACAGGTGGGAAACTGAGGCAGAGAGAGGAGGTTAAGGCCATTTGGTGAGTGGGGGAGCTGAACTTGAACCCACATTTAACTCCCTCTTCTAACCACTTCAGCACACCATCAGTTTACTGGCCTTGTTCACTTAGGATGCTTTTGGGGTTTGGGGCCACATATACCTTTTTCTTTAAAAAATAGTGCAGCCGGGCCAGGGATTTAGCTCAGTGGTTCTGCTGCCTGCCTCGCAAGCGCAAGGACCCAAGTTCGATACCCGTTACCAAAAAAAAATAGTGTAGCTGTGAATGCCTTGCCATCCCTGATTTCTTTCTTTTCCATTACATTTACTTCCTTGGGGGTGCTGTTCTTAGAGAGAGGCATTGGACAAATGACTTCAGGGTTGCTTGTTCCTGCTGATGGACTGGTGTCAGATGACAAGACTATCTCCTTGAGCTAGCTCTAGTTAGCCTCTTCTGTGTCTTCAAGGCCTGGACCTTGGCCTCTGTCCTTGGCTGATTGAGCCTAAGCCTAGCATCTTGCTAGTTGATTTGGCAAAAATCCAAAAATTCTGTCTGATCTCCACCCTGGAGATCTGATCAGATTCCTCACCCCCTCTCCCTCACTTCAATCTCCGATCTCCCTGTCCCTGCTTGCAGCAGGGATCCTGGGGAGTGGCCTAGCAAGAATGCCTGTGGCCTTGATGTTTCCTCTTAGTAATTTTCCGTCCCCACCCTGTTCCATGGCTGGGTAGCACAGCCTGTCTTTGTTGTAGTCAGATTGAGCCCGATCTCTCCTCTACCATAAAACCCCACTGTACTGGCCCCCTCCGTGCAGTCTTCCTGTCTGTAACAGAGGTCATGAATAATTTTGTCCTTAGCATAGAAAAGGTCAAAGTGGGCTGAAGGGGTAGCTCAGTGGTGAGCACTTGCCTCGCATGTGTGAGGCCCTGAGTTCCTTCCCCAGAGCCACAGAAGAATAAAAGGTTGAGGCAGTTGGTGGTGCCCCCAGCCCCTCTGCCCTCTCAGCGCTGCCTCCCTTAAGTTTTATTTTTTTTATGCTTCCTCTTTGGTGGCTGAGCGGGTGTGATAACATCTTAAGCTATTATCTGGAGAGGTTAGGTGCTTTTCCACCTCAGGATTGCTTGTCTGCCTCCCCAAGGGCAGGGTGTTTATTGCCCTTGACGGTTGATGAAGGGGGCCCCAGCACTGGGTCCTGCCGTGTTATTGGTTCTTTAGGTAGTTGGTGGTGGGTAGCGTTGGAGTTTATGACTTGGAATATATTTTCCTGGTAAACGTTTGTCACTTATGCTTGCCACTTGGATGTTGGGTGTGTCTTGGTAGATGGCAGAGTCTAAGGCCCTCGAGGCAGGGCCTGGTGTGTTGGTCATTGCTGTGTCCCCAAGGATTGGCAGCGTCCTGTGTAGTGAAGGGCTTAGTACAGTTTTGTTGAATGAATAAATAAATTTAGGGGAAAATTTATACCATATTTATTATATTTTCTGGTGAGGCAAAACTATTTTTTTTTTTTCAATACTGGTGATTGAACCCAGGGCCTTTTATTTTATTGTACTGTGCTTTAATTTTAAGACAGAGTCCCACAAGCTTGCTAAGTTGCCCAGGCTGGGCTTGAACTTATGATTCTCCCACCTCAGCCTCCCAGAATGCTGGAATTACAAGTATGTGCCACTGAACTGCCATAGGCAAAACTTCTTTTTTGAGACCAGGTCTTGCTATGCAGCTCAGGCTGGCCTTGCACTCACTATTTAGCTCATGTTGATCTCAAACTCGAAGCAATTCTCCTGCCTCAGACTCCCGAGTGCTGGGATTATAGCTATGTGCCACCATGCCCACCTCCAAAACTGTTTTTTTTAAAGTAACCTTTTTTTTTTTGGTACCGGGGATTGAACTCGGGTCCTTGTGCTTGTGAGACAGGCGGTGGAACCACTGAGCTAAATCGCTGGCCCTAAAATAGACTTTTATTTTGCAACAGTTTTAGGTATCCCAACAAATTGCCAAGACAGGCTGGAGAGCTCTGGTACACACCAGGTGCAGTCCCGCACATCTGTAATCCCGCCACTCTGGGATACTGAAGCAAGAGGATCACAGATGTGAGCTCAATCCAGGCAATTTAGCAAATCAGCAAGATCCTGTTTCAAAATAAACATTTCCAAAAGAGCTGGGCAAGTAGCTCAGTGAGAAGGCCCTAGTAACACGCACGCGCGCGCACGCACACGCATACACACGCCGCGCACGCGCACGGCTCCCTGTCACGCCGCATCAGCATCTCAGGTTAGTATCGTGCATTTCCATGATCAATGAGCCTTACTGACGAGCTACCGTGAGCCCAAGTCCACCCGTGGTTCAGGTTTCCTTAGCTTTTAACCGAACCCTCTTCTCCTGGGTCCTCTCCACGCCCTTCAGTCCTCCGTCTTCCTCAGCTCCTCTTGGCTACGACATTTTCCTAGACTCCCCTTGTTTGTGATGACCGTGACAGTTTTGAGGCGCGCCGCGCAGGGGTTTTTGGTTTTCTCGTGACTGGGTTGAGGTTTTGGGTTTTGGGGGGTGGCCCTCTAAGGTAAAACGCCTTCTCCTCATGTCGCACGGAGGGCGCTGTGGTCAGCGGGACCTGGCCTGGAGTCGGCCATGGTCGCCTGGCCTCCCGCGCAGAGCCTGCTGGGACTCGCACTGCAAGGTCTCCTGCTGTTCCCTGTCTCAGCCTCCTCTGCGGCCAGAGAGGAAGATGGCCCTGTGCCCTCATGCCACCGTGGCAGGGTGTCCTCCCTGGGGGGCGGCACCCACATTATTTATTTACAAAGTGTAAAGTGTGGGGTTTTGCCCCCACAGTTCTATATTTAGTCATTTCTTTGTATCAGTGTGAACTCACAGAGATTTACTTTATGCAGTACTTTGAATTCTCATTCAATATTCCTTAATTTGCTCTCAAATTGCTCTCGCTTTGGCCCCTGGGGGGGTCTTTCAGTTGGCGCCTGTGTTCTTGTCACATGGCCCCCCGTGTATAGGTGTGGTGTGTTGTGTGCAGTGTGTGTGTGTCCGTCTGATGTGATGTGCTATGTGTGAGTATTGTGTATGTGTGTACATGCATGTGCATGAGTGTACAGGTGTGTGTCCTGTGTTTCTGTGCATGGAGGCATGTGCATGTCTGCATCTCTGGTGTGTTTGTGTGTGTGTGTTGAGCACCTCCACTCTCTGTCACTTCAAGGTGCCCCAAGCTCACCGCAGTCTCCAGCCTCTATCCTAGATTCAGATCACATCAGATGTGAGTTACTCTTGGCTTTTTTTTGTT